GACGCTCTTCCGATCTCCCCAAAACCCCAAAACCCCATGAGCAGTAATTTGAGCTGACTTGATAACTTATAATTTAAAGTAAAATATAGTAATGAGAAAATCAATAAATTCTTCCTCTTTCTTCGGGACCCATTGTTCTATTGAAATTTTAAAGGTTAAAGTGTCTTAATGCGACTATTTTCTTATGAATCTTTGCTTCTGTAAATTCAGAGGGTTAATCAAATTCCTAATAGCCATCTTTTGCAATGAAATACTCAGCAGATTTCTGCTGCGGTGTTAATGATGTCTAAGTTCTATTTTGGTTTTATGGTGCAATGTTTTAGAATCTTGAAGGGTTCTCTCTCGAGAAACTAAATTAAGACAACTAGGGCTGATGAGTTGCTGTAAATTTTGACTACAACTATTTCTTGGGAGGTTCTTAGACCTACTAAATTTGCTATTAGGGTGGGGAATGAACTACTTCATAAATTTCAATTGGAGTTTTTCTTGGCTTACTTTCCTTAACATTATTATTATTCAAACATTATGGACATAACTATCCTTTTTTGTCCATCTCATTATACTTCTTAACTATTTTGTTATATTATTCTATCAATTTGTCGTTTTCATTCTCGAGTATCTGATTTTACTCCTCGGACTATTTTATTTTACCTATTATCTCAATTATTTGATCGTTTAGAGATTATGATCTTGAGATCAATGCTTCATTTTCCTAAGATAGTTCTCTTAATAGCTTGAGAGCATCATCTCTTGAAAGTTTATCCATGTCAGCTTCAAAATCAGATTCAGTTCTTTTTATCTTAAAATCTTAGAGTTTATTGTTTTTCTCATCTAAATCATCCAGAAGTTATCCTATCAACTTAAGAAGTTAAAGAACTTTAAGTTTTTGCAAATCATCTTTATTGATTTCTTCCTACTAGTTGTTCATGCTTTACATTCTATTAATCAACTTAACTGAGTATTTATGTGATGACTCAAGCTCTTTTCTCAGGCTTTCATAATCCTTTCTAAGTTCTTTGATCTTGTTCAGACTATCAGTATTTTCTTTTTTAAGAGCTTTGATATGATCTCTTAGAGTTTATAAATCATTCAAGCAGATTTGGAACAGCTATTTGAAAACCTAGTTTTTATTCCTAATTTTATCTTAGCTATGCTTGTAATCATTGCTGAAAAACTAAGCATACAACATTCTTAATCGTTTCTCAATTTCATCATCATCCAATTCATCCCAATTTTCATCTTTAAAGTTGTTTGATCTTCGATTCTTCAGCAAGTTTGAAATGTCCTCGAGCTCGTCGATTCGCATCTCTCCACTATCTGCACTTTTTTCAGTTATTGGATTCTCCTAAGCCAATGCCAGATCATTTTGCATTTTAGCTAATTGCTTTTTAAGCATTCTTATCTCAGCCATTAGAGAACCTATCTCCTTCTCATACTTATCTTATAATTCCACAAGAACAACTTCTTTATATGTCTTTAGTTCTTTTGCTAAATCATCTACTTCTTTCCTAGATTTCTCCGCTTTTTTCCTTTCAAAATCTCTTTCGCCTACAATCAATTCGATCTTAGTCTGTAGTTTATCTAATTAATCACCGAGCTCACGGTTCTTACCTAGTAAGTCTTTGTTTTATTTTTACAGATCTCCAATCATATCATCTCTCTCCTTGAAATGCTTATAAACTATCTCATTTATCTTGTCCTCTCCAATTATTTCACCTGGATCCTTGTACATATAGCCTTATTTCAAAAGCTCAGTTATCTATTCATCTTTAAGTTTGATTACAATCTTAAGACAGTCTATGTTTCTTGCGAATCTGGCTGCTAAGAAGTTTTTATAGTCTACTTTATTCCAAAGCCTACTAGCTTGGTAATATTGTTATTCCTCGAATAGTATGTAAATGTATTCCAAAAGTTAATCGATATCTTCAATATCTTATGATACAAAAAAGCTAGTTTCCTTCTTAGATCTATCCGGCTTTTATTAAGAGTCTTGTGGTTTAGTAGTCTTAAGATCATTTACTTATTTAAACAATAGTCTGAAATCTTGATCTATCAAATCATTATTCTTAGTTAGATCATCAATTAGCTTCATGAGGTATACATTGTCTTTTTATAATTCTTGGAATTTCTTAATAAGTGCTACATAGTCTTGATTCAGCAAATCCAATTTAATAAACAAATCTGATTATCGTAGGTTATCAGTACTTCCTATCTGGTTTATTCCACCCTTCTTCTTAAGAAGTTCCTCAATGATCTGTGCCTAGTTAACTCCCTTAAGGATAACATCCTTTTATTCTAGGTTGGCATCAACTGCCTTTTAAGGAATGTGCAGCGTCTATTACTTTTTCGGGGGTTTAGCCTTTTTGCTTGAATTGGAATTGAAATTGTTCTTTTCTAAAGGAAAATAAAATGAATAATGTTTTACTCTATGGTGAAGGAGAGAAAGGCTAGTGGTAAGTGAAATTCCGAATATGCATATCCTTAGTATACATATTCATTTAAACCTATGCATTTCCCAATAACAATTTTATTCTATCTTAGAGAGTCTATATTATGAGATCCTTCTCTTCCAACTGTCTATTCAACTCTTGATTTTGAACAGCATGCATGACCTACATTTCCTCTTATGTTGGTCTTCTCTGCTTAGAAATTGATTTTCTATTTGCATCATTCTGCTATTTAAGCTGCTCATTTGCTGCTACTTACTATTATAATTCTCTCTCCACATCATTTAGGTTTGTTTGCTGATACTTTATTATATCCGACTACTGACGCATCTCCTTTTGCAAATCACCTATCTTCTACTGCAACTGCTCAATGAGATTGTTTGAGTATTCCATCTATGTGCTTTCATTATTGATTGACTAAGCAAGTTTAGACTTCTGCAAGTCCTCAACATCTTTATTTAGCTTTTTTATCTTCATTTGAAGTTCCTTATTGTCATTAGCCTAGATGAAATTATTAGGAAGTTGATTTGAAAAATTTTAATAGAATTTTCACAAAAACATTGAATATTATATTACCTGAAGTCTTAACTGTTATTACAATTTTTCTCGCTCAATTTATAATTGCTCCTCGACTTGTCTATTGCCTTGCTTCCTAATTACAAATTTTAAGAGAGCATTTACTTACTTAGCATTTAAAAGTTTATCGTATTACTGAAATACATAGCTTAGCTACTAATGCAGTACTAGTGATAAGTCTTGAAAGTTCTATAAGAGAAATTTGTTAAGTAAGTAGCCACAATAATTATGATGTAAGGTGATGGGTATTTAAATTCAGTTTTTACATTCTAGTTTGAGTCTATTATGGGCATATTCTAGTCTGATCCCATATAGTTTATAATCACTTCTTGTCTCTCCAAGATCTCCTACATAAGTCTTTCGAACATCTCAGCATCATCTTCATTTACTTCATTTTAATGATACTCCTCATTATTTTAACTGTGTTAATCCACACTATGTTCATCTTAGTTTTCTAGGAAGTATTATCAATGATAGAAATACATTAGGACACTTGATCAGGGCTAAATGATCTACGATTTTGATCAGGACTCTATTGCTCGTTATTATCATCATCTTCATTGTCACTTCCTTCTAATTGAATGAAAACCTGCTTCTTAGGCATCTGATTTTGATCACTCATATTGGTTGCTTGTAAATAAAATAAATTTGCCTCAATAATAATTATCAAATTTATAGTTTGCTTTAATTTTTATTCGCAATTTGAATCCAGGGGTTTTGGGGTTTTGGGGTTTTGGGG